TAACAACCCCCACACTTCGTGGCCTCTCTGGCCTTCTGAAATGGCCTACACTCGGTCTATAGGTTGTGCATCTCTCTGAATAAATCTACTTTTACTCTAAATAAAATACGACAACCTCTGTTCTAACACCTATCTCAGGACACCATGGTTAGTTGCCAATGCATCTGCTTTCCTGACTCCTGCTTTCCCCCCTCCGTCCCAGGAGAGGCCGAATGTCTTGACATCTCTCTCTCTCTCCAAAGTCTATCGTGATGCCCGATAAACGTTCAACTAAGTGAATGAATAAAAGAATAAATACGTGAATGAATGAATAGGATTTCTGTGCAGAAGTGAGTTTAAAAGTAACGATATTACATCCCCACCTTGTTGCAAGGCTTAAGGGTGTCTTCAGGCTGTCTACAAGGCCCCATACCAGCTTGGAGCGGGTCCGGAGGGAGAGAAGCAGCACCGAAGCCCGTCGGAACCCAGGCCACAGCTGCAGCAGAGCCGGCTGAGCACAGCCTAGGTCAAGACGGCAGCCGCGAGTTCGCCAGACGCCGCTCCAGGACTACAACTCCCAGAAGGCCGCGCAGCGGCAGAGTGCGAGCCGTGAAGGATTCCGGACGCTGACGTCAGAGCGGCGCCGGGCAGCGGAGACTCGGGGCCCAGAGGTAAGTGTAGGTGGCGGGCAAAGTGAGGAGGGCGGGAGCGATGGAGGAGCGACCTTGAGGTTAGGTGATGCGGGGGTTGGATGAGGGAGAAGGACAAGGAATGAGTCTCAGATGAAGAGTGGGTACCGGGGTGGTAAGGACCTCGAGTTCTGCTTCCTCTTCCCGCAGTGACCATGACGAAATTAGCGCAGTGGCTGTGGGGACTGGCGCTCCTGGGCTCCACCTGGGCGGCCCTGACCATGGGCGCCCTGGGCCTGGAGCTACCCGCATCTTGCCGGGAGGTCCTGTGGCCACTGCCCGCCTACTTGCTGGTGGCCGCAGGCTGCTATGCCCTGGGCACTGTGGGCTATCGCGTGGCTACTTTTCACGACTGCGAGGACGCCGCCCGTGAGCTGCAGAGCCAGATCCAGGAGGCCCGAGCCGACTTAACCCGTAGGGGGATGCGCTTCTGACACCCTAACCCCATCCCCACCCGGACAGCCCGCTCTCCCATTCCCCATTAAAAAGCCACTTTATTTTCTAGCTTTGTTTGATTTGAGTATGGATGACGGGAACTAGGGATTCTGTATACCAGCTGCTAAGTGAGAGGTAGATGAGCCACCTTCCTGAGGCTGTCTCAGCCTTTCTTTGCATTCTGCTGGTGCTTCCTCCATTTTGCTCCACAGAAGGCAAAGACCCCTTCTCAAGATCTCTCAGAATGGAAAAGTCAATTCACTTTCCTGGTCCTTTTAACTCTGTTAGGAAGTACTGCTTGAAGCCTAACTTTCATTCTTCTTCATAACATCCAAGTTCTGTTCTCTGTAAGGCCTTCCTAGGTCTTTCCAACCTCTTGGTTCTTTCAAATACCTTTTCTTAGCCAGCTCGACCAGCCCAAGAGCAATTGTGGAACAGACAGTGCACCTCTACCCTTCACCAAACCAGGCAGATTGAGTATCCCTGAATAAGAGAATGAGTCTTGATGGGCAGGGGTAGGAAACAGTTTATTTTAAGGCACATTCTAAAGATTTCACCTCCACCTCCAAAATTAAAAAATAAAATATTGAGAAAAATAAAAGCAATTCATTTCCCAGGTTCCATCCAATCTTCTAAGTAAAGCTCTTTCTTTAGTCCCTGGATTCTCAACGCTGTCTCTTTTCCTTTACTAAAACCCACTGCACCCCGTAGAGCTGGTCAGTAGGAACAGCTGAAATAAAGTTTCTTTGGTAACAGGTTGGTATTCTGTTTCCCAGAGGTCAGGTGAACTCCCTCAGGCTTGTAGAAACTGACAGTTCCTGTCTTGCTCTTGGAGAGTACTTCCAGAAAAGCCAGAGGCGAATGAAGCTGGTGAGGATTCCTGGAAGGTTGGGCACCTGAAATCACAGGGGCTGCTATGAGGAGAGGGCTGATTTTCCACCTTGTACACCTGTCACCCCATCCCCGTTCTGCTTACCACGATGTAGGGATCATTTAGTCGAAACCCATAGAGGGTCCAGGAGGCAGAAGAGAGGAGGGTGGCAATGGTGAGTGAAAAGGAGAGACGTTGGGTTGATTTGCTCTGAATAACCTTGGCCTATGGAAAAGGATGGAAGACAGTCCTAGCCCAAACACATAATAAAGCTCCCACCTTGCCTAAGAATTTCCTCAGGAGAAAGGTCAAACATCCTCCCTGATCTTCTGTGACCCAACCTTTCCCTCCCGCCTCCCACTCACCCAACTCTACTGCCCTGTCTCCCTCCAGGATTTGGATCTTCCTTTCTCTGGAGTGTAAGCTACAGTGTCTCGCTATGAAAGCCTGACCCTTATCTCCCCTACCTCCTTGGACACCCCCACTCACCAAGTCAGCCAGTGGTGAGAGGTACATACTGATCGTGAAGACACTGCAGAAGAGGCCCAGCTGCTGAAGCCGGGTCTCAAGATCAGGCACCAGGAGCCAAAAGTAGCCAAAACCCAGGACAAGGACCCCCAGCAGGGTTGCAGTCTGAAGGAGCACGGCACGCTGCAGGGGAGAGCGCAGCCTTACTTCTGGATGTGCCAGGAGACCTCTCTAACCCTGCTGCTGGGATTAATTCATCCTGCCCTCTCCCATGCTCCAGTGGGGTAGCCAGCCTTGGTCTAAGCCTCCAGTACTGCACTTGTCACAGCCTCTTTCCTGTCAGTGACTTGAGCACATGTCTGATCTACCCACAACACTGGAGGTTTCTAGGAGAGGGAAAGGTATCTTTTTTGTGGGAGCTTGCTACACAGAGTAGGCGCTTAATGGCTTGTGTGAATGGGGAAGCAGAGCTAATCCTCTCCCTCTGAGCCACTGGCCCTGGCTCTGAAGGAACTACGGAGACAAAGATCCCTTTCCACTTAGCTTGTTGGGCAGCAAAGCACCATCAGGCAAGGCAGAGCTACCAGCCTTACCAGAACGGGAGATGGTATTTGAGGCTTAGAAGGCTGATTTCATGGAGGAAGGAGGACTGCAAGCCTGGAGGAGTCTTCCAGGAAAAGGTGGCGGTGCCAGCCTGTTTATATACAGTCTTCTAGGAAGCAGTGTTTGCCTTGCCAGCAAGGCAGGGCAGGGTGTGCAGCAGAGAGGGAGGGCTTCTACCTTCCGATGGCAGTAGTGCAGATACACCAAGATATACAGAGTCTGAAGCACAGCACCCACGGCATTGACGACGATTAGCGTCCCATTTCCCTTCAAGGCCCCATAACTCAGCCAGCTCAGGTTGCTGCAGGGTGGAGGGGAGGGACATTGGCCCGCTGGGTTGAGTGTGGGCGGGAGACCCGAGGGGCCTCGTCCACATTCCTCCCCACCCCTCCCCGACCACCCTCAGCCTTTCCCGCCGCAGGCATTGCCCCCCTCACTTGACATCCGTGGTGAGAAATGGCAGGAACTGGACACTGTCCACGCTCCGTGTCATCCGCATGTGCTTGAGGTCCGAGCTGTGGGGCCCCGAAGGCAGGGGGAAAGGTGGAAAGGGAGAAGCAGGCTGCTAGGGCGTCGAGATCCCAGATGCCTGTCATTCTTCCCGGACAACTGCAGACCCCTGGCCCCGCCCTCATCTTCCTCGCCTTCTCCCTCAGGTCAAGTGACCTGTACCCCGGCCCCCTCGATCAAATTCTACTTTGACCCTAGGTTCCGATTGCAGCCTGGGGCTGCAGCCACGTTTCAGTTCCCTGTCTCTCCTTTCCTGACTTTCTAGTCCTGCCCCAGCCCACCCACTCCGCGCTCTCACAGGCCGGTGGAGAACATGCCGAGGGTGAAGAGCACGCAAGCTCCGGAAAGGAGCGAATCGGCCAATCCGCCCGCCTCCATCCCTCCCCGAGTCGGATCCCGCGCTCGGCGCGGGCGCCCGAGGCCTGCTTAGTAGGATCAGGAGCCCGGGAGGCAGGAGCCCCGCCCCAACGCGCCCCCGGCTCCGCCCCTGCGCGCTGGGCCGTCCCCCCGGAAACTGAACCGGAACCCGGCCCACCCCTAGAACGTCAAGCCGGAACTCAGGCCCCGCCCCTCCAAGCGCCTGCCCCGCCCCTGCCAGCCGGCTGTCGGCTCGCCAGGTTGCCGGGCTTCACGTGGCTGTTTTCTGGTCAGTTCCCTTCCTAGGGGTACGCAGATTTGTCCCCTGCACCAGCCGCTCCACACACGTTGCTTACCCTTTAGATCACCTAGACCCCCGGCCTCAACTCTTTCCCACAGGCCCGGGAGCCTACTTGGTAGAACTCAAAACAAAAGGTTACTAGGCGGACTTTAACGCGCTTCCCATTCAGAGCCCCAGCTCAAAACTTAAGTTGCCCAGGACGCCAGAGGCTTTTCCCAGTTTGCCGAAGCCTCTTTCCGGTCTCTTCCCTGAATAATAGGAATTGCCAGGAATCACCAAGTCTTTGTGAGACGCCCTCCCTCTTCGGCCACACTGCCAACTTTCCGTGACTTGTCCAATCCACTGGCCAAAAGTGTATCACTGACCCCCTAGTCCAACCTACTTGCTGCTGGGAACTTTCCCTCCCAGCCTCCCACACGTCTCTGCTGGTGGGGCTGTGGGGGCGGGCCGCATGCCTCAGCTGGCGTTCCCCTGAGCGGCTGCCCTGACTCACCCAACAGCCTGAGTACCTGAACCAAAGCCCAGCGCTGTGAGGCTGGGAGTGAGACAGAAGTTGGACAGGAGGAACTTCCAGAGTGGGGTGCATTCTAGAACAAGAGAGACTGCTGTGGGGGCACTCCTGTCTTGAACAACCCTCAGAAGAGGAAACACACCACCCTTTTGGGCTAGATATATGTTCTTCCCAGAGACAGAAAAAATTCGAACCCAGTTGCTACTAGTGTAGCACAGAGCCTAGCAAGTAGCAGATTCAATGATCATAAAATGGGATGAGGGGCAGAAAAGCATGTCAAAAGAAACAAACACATTGCTTTATTTTGAGACAAAGAACATTGTATTAAAAACAAAAACAAAACCAAAAACAACTCCAGTTATAGAAATCAGCACAGACACAGCAAGTTCCTATACAAGTTCTGTACACATGGGCCCTGCCCTTCAGGCTACACTCTACACACAGACTCTGTGCATGTGGGCACTGCCCTTACAGCTACACTCTAAGACCAGGTTGGCACAGCCCCCCTGCTGGCACAGCTCTGGGGAGTGCTGCCCCTGGATGGGAGAGGATGCAGTACATGGCTACAACCTCTCTGTGGCAGCTCCACAGAAAAAAGTCTTGGGGGAGATGCTGGGTCAGCCCAAGCATGCTGCCTCTCCTGTCCCTGGCTCCCAAGCAGGCAACTGTCTCTTGGTTTTCCTTTAGTCAGTTCATCTGGTCATCCTGGCTCTCTCCGGGAGGGACATCTTTGCCAGGCTCAGTGTCCATCCGTGGGACCCCAAACCCCTTCCAGCTCAGCTCACAGTGCCCTTCTTAAGAGGTCATATCTGCACAGCTTGTTTCTTTGGTTTAAGGGCAGGAATGGAGGGGAAAGGACCGTCTCCACTTCTCTGGCCGGCCCTCTGAGGTGGAGGTGGGGACGGCCCTGCCAGGCCTGCTAACCTCCTCTGGGTTGAAACCCTTAACACTGACCCGTTTTGAGGCTGCCGGGTGGCAGCTTGTGCATGTGGTGGGAGTGGTTCCCAGGACTGGGGCTTTGGGAGGGGCCCCAGGCAGGTAAGGGAGGCCTACCCCTGCCTCCTCAGCCCAGTTCCAATCCTGATGCTAGACGTGGCGTACACCTTCATGGGGTCTGCAGCAGCAGGAATGGCAGGAGCAGCACAGCCCAGGCAAGTGGGAAGAGGCGGGGAGCGGCACTGTGACCGATGCTATGTAGAATTTGCACCTCTGGGTCATCTGTAAGGTGAGAGGGCAAAGGCCCCCAGGGTTAGCCCTCAGCCCAATGAGGTTTCCCCAGCCCCTGGTGGCAAAGGAACCACCTCCTTTATGCAACCTCTTCAAGCAGACTCCCTTTTGTGCCCCAGGCCCAATTTGCTCCAGATACCTACCTGCTGGAAGTCTCTTCTCCTGTGGATTGGCATGGGCCTGAGGACTGTGAGCTGAAAGAAAAGGGTGGTCATAGGTCAGGTACTGTACCAAGGAGGCAGAGGGGTAGGAATGCTCGGTGAGCTGGGCAGTGGGACTTCCCAACCATCCCAGATCACTAGACCAGACCCAGGATAGAGGTGGAGGAAGGAGGCCCATAGGGCCCTGACACTCACTGATTTTGCCGTTAACTGTCACTTTCAACCTCAAGCACTGGTCTTCCTGGTGGTGGATGGGTTTGGCTACAAAATAAATTCTGAGTGTAAAGGAAGGAAACTTTGTTGGAAGAAAGTGTAAGTGCAAATGCCTGAGGCCCTGCTTTTCCAGTTCCTGCTCATTTTAATCCCTCTCCTCCCTCTACTCTTTGATTCTCACTTTCATTAGTTTTTGCCCACTTTCTGCACCAAGTTCAACCCAAGCACCCATTCTTTGGAATAACCCTTGGCTTTGAAGATGGTGGTAAAAAGAATATAGACACTGTCTGCTCCCCACAGTCCTCCCAGCCGGAAGTTGGGGGCAGCCTGCACAATATGCTCCCCTTCCCGAACCATTTTGTACTCACCCTGCCTAAGCCCCACTGACAGGGTGAGGCCTGGATCCATTCTATATAAAGCTGATCTTATAAATCCACCAGTAGGAGGGTGGGAATAGCTCAGTGGTAGAACGCATGCTTAGCATACATGAGGTCCTGGGTTCAATCCCCAGTACCTTCATTAAAAAAAAAAAAAAAAAAATCCACCAGTGGCTCTCTACCTCCCTCAGGCAGGATAAAGTCCAAACTTCTTAGCACTTCTTAGGCCACGATGCTCTACCCCTATCTACTATATCCCTACTTCCAAGCTCCTATATCCCTACTTCCAAGTTTCCCTCCTGCTCCAGCCAGGCTGAACCATGTGGAGCTCTCTGAAGATGTTATGCTCTCTTTATACATGCCCCAAACTCCTGGCCAACTCCTCTGGCTGTCCTAAGCTCTCAGGTCATCTTCCCCAGGAAGCCTTCTATGAGCCCCCCTAGACTGGCAGTTACCCAAGTCATTTTCTCAGGGCCCCCATGCTCATATCCACCATCTCACCCTGTTCTAATGATGTGTTAATCTATGCGTGTCCCTTTCCAGCTTCTTGGAGGAGAGGGGCCCTGTAATGTTTTATTTATCCCTGTGCCTATAATGCCAAGCAGAGTGCCCAAGACACAGTAGAAGCTCACTTCACATTTGTAACGGAAGTGAATGAAAACAGAATTCAGAATAGAAGGGGTGGTCTGCTGCTTGACTCTCCGATAAGCATAAGTGGTACAGCATACCACTGCAGCCCCCAGTATATGCACCCGTGTGCATGCCTCCCGGGTACTCACAGATGTAGTAGTAGCTGTGTCCCTCTTTGAACTCCTTGCCCAGGGTAAAGGGTGTGAAGCGCTGGAACTTCTCAGACAGCTTCTCTGGGCCATGCCTGGCACTGGGCTGGTTGCACTGCCAGCGGACCTGGTCCTTGGACTGCGGTTGGCATAGCTGGTACTGCTCACGCTCCACCAGGTACAATGTATACCGTTCCATGGCAGCATCTGCCACAGAGTCATCCTCGTAATGAGGACAGATGATGTCCAGGTAGTCATTCAGCCGCACATGTACTGTGTAGTCCTCATTCCGAAACCTGGGCATGCACAGACGGGGAGGAAGCAGGTGGTCACTCAGAAGCCAGGCTAGAACCCTGAGCTTCCAAATGTTTACATGATCCCTCACATTTCACACTGGACACCCCCCAAAGATTTAAAAAAAAAACAACTCAACTCCCAATATTTACTAATCTTGATCTCTTAAATATCTTTCCATTATCTACAAACATTCCTGTCACCGTCACTGTCTGCCACTAATACCCTAAATAGCACCTACTTAATGTCTTTCAGGTACCAAAACAATTCCCATAACCTTCTTGATATTTACCCAAGGGTGGGCTTCTAGATATTTCCTCAGTTCACTTTCCTACCCATAAATACTTCCCCAAATCTATTCTACCAGTTGCTCCTGTAAACATTATTAGATCTCAGTCTGTGACCCTACTGGCCCATTCTATAATCAAGATCCAAGTAACCCTTTCTCTTTCCCATGCTAGTACTTGGCGCCCAACTATCTATGTTTTCACTTCTCTTACTCCTCATGTTTTCCCCGATCCACTGAGTATATCTCACATTTTTCAGCTTCACTCTTCTCCCAACACCCAGTATATCCACACCCACAGATATGCCCAGTCCTTTTAAGTTAAATTGCTTTCATCAGTTCAGTCCTCTCAAATCTCCTCTACTGACTGCTCAGATCTATGCTCAGCTCTCCTTGCCCACTTCTCTCAAAGCACCCCAAAACCTCCCTGTCCCTTTATCTCCAAAAGCCATTCTTTCACCTGCCTGGAAATGAGCCCCAGAAATGCTGGAGTTCTCAGGTCTGAAACGGCTTCTCCCCTCCCTCTTCCCAAGGTGGAGCCAGCTCCCCTCCCCCAGCCCATTCCCCCCAGGCTCCACAGGCTCCAGCCTGACTGCCCACCAGCTCCTCCCCCTAGCTCTAGACACCTGGCTCCAGTCTGGGTGGGGTCCTTGAGGGGAAAAAGAGCCTCCCCACCTCCCTCTCCAGGCTGGTCAGCTTCTCTGAATTCCCCCAAGCACTGCCAGCTAGAGACTCAGCAGAGTTGCCTGCCAACTTGCTTCAAACCGAAGCCCTGGGTTGGGGGTAAGGGGGAGGGGCAGGGTTAGGCCAAGAGGCCTCTGAGGTGGGCACCCACTGCCCAGTCAGCATGACCCTTAAGAGCCCTGGCCTTGCAGAGCCTGCCAGTGCTCAAGCTAGGCTTACCAAGGCCCCTCCCCCACCCTGGGGAAAAGAGAGACTGGGGTGAGGGGAGGGGGAGGGAGGGGGGAGAGAGAGGAGGGAGAGAGAGGAGGGAGACAGGAGCAGAGAGAGGTACTTTTAAAATTCCTCTCTGGAGAGAATAAACATAGAAGCCT